AGATCAAAGAGCACGAGCTCATGGTCGAGCATGCATTGTTTCGCGAGTATCCAGCAGCTAGACCACTGACCATTTTTCTAGCGCTTTTGGCGTAGGAAGGGCACTGGTAGGAGGGTATGAGGTGTATCGCTAGCGAGGATGTGCAATCAGCTCTCTGGGACTTTATCTTCGTCAACTTGCACGTTCGGAACGTTTCCACTTAGATTTGTGAGCATATTGCTGAGAAAAGTGCTGTTGTTGGCCTGTTATATAAATATGCGATGGGCAAAGCCAGCTGGTGGAGAGGGGTCCAAGATGGAGAGGGTTTTGGCCTTCTTGGATCAACTGCATCCACATGAATCAACATTATATAAATAACATGACATTAAAATATATTATCTCTAAGATCTCTAAGAGAATCGAGGAGCTGAGAAGCTTTTGCAAGCGAGCAGCTGAGAACTGAGGACTGTTGCCCTGGTGCCCCATTGCCACAACGCGCTTGCGCGATGATGCGGCAAGTGTCCAAACGCTTTGCAAAGCTGATACTCGGTGCTGGGCTCCACTACATAAATATATAATTCCTTTCAACCCACTGAGTATAACTCCCAAGACCATGTTTCTTGGCACCACTGATGCCCCTATGCAGACTCTGTGAACCAAGCCCCAACGGTTGGTTGCACTCGCCAGTAGAGTTTGACCAACAACTCCTGGCGACTCGCATGTGAACTTAAAAGTGCTGAGCAACAGTAAGGTACCTATGACCTCCTATGACCTGCACCTGCTGACGCATCCCAAGCTGCTAAGGATTTCTGGATGGCTGAGAGTGGGATTCTGCCAAGGCAACTTCAGCGCAGACAACTGCCCCTTGGTACAGTATGCGAAAGTTTTGTTTGATATCGTAGGATTGCAGACAATTGCAAAAAACACATAAACATCTGATTATATATACATGATTGTGTTTAATATTGTATCATATATATATATACATAGATTCACCCATACATATGCATATATATATATATATATGTATATCTATCACTTTGCCGTGCCTATGAGCCCACACTGTTCTGAACGAGTGCACACACAAACTAGGAAGCTTCTAGTTACCAGAAAGTGCAAACATTTGGCACCTCATGTACACACCACTCGAGGCCATCTGGGCTGAAAAGGAAAGCTGCGCGACATAGCGCAAGTTTGCATGGTAGCGAGCGCTGGCCGTGCCAAGGCCTTGCGCAAGGGTCAAGCGGCCCTAGCGGCACACGTGGCTCTCCCAGGACGGGAGGTGAGGCCCTCAGGGGGCTGGTGCCGGTGGCTGGCTTTGGGAGCCGCGACCCTGGCGTTGGTGGTGAGCGGTGCACCATTTGTGGTGCTGGGCTGCTTGGTGGACGATGACGTCCGTGGAGGAGTTGGCGGCAGCCCTACAGCAGCTGAGACAGCAGGTCGTGTCCACCCAGGCCGACAACCAGGTGTTGAGAGAGAGACTGGTGACCTTTGAAGCTCAGGCCGCATTGATCCTTCCCATGGTGCGGGTGGCATGGCCCCTGAAGTTCGAGAGATGATGAATGCTCTTCGAGTCTTGGGAAGTTGTCCAAGCCCAAAGGACTCATAGATCCGATTCCAAGGTCCCTCATGACCGGCTCAACTGGTGGTTCGTGCTCTTGCAACAGTGCCCTGAGCTCCCGGTCCGTGGCTTTGTCAGTGGCGATGAAAACCAGCCGTTGGTGCAAATCTCGGTATGCTGCAACAGCTTCCTTGGCAGCCTTCAAAAGCTGTGTCGAAGCCAGCATCATCCACCCAGCTGGAGAGGTAGATCGCAGGGCGTGCTTCTTGCCACAGCTTTGGCCAGAAGTGGTGCTTGCGGACAGCCTGCTGGTACACCGTTTTGGACTTTGAAAAATGGTGTCATCTCTTGCTCTGCCACAATTGCTTTGGGGCCTGTGTAGACTTGCGTGGCCATTTCAAGAAGCAGTGGTGGGTATTGAAGTTGGAGGGCTTCTGTTTGGAGCCTGGTCAAATTGATGGTGTCGTAGAACGTGGACATGTCCATGAGCATGTCACAAGCATTGGAGCGTTGGAAGGCCCTTCGAAGTCGCTATGACAGGAAGAAAGACCAATTTGGCGCACGTGAGGCACTACCTGAGTCGCTGGCCATGAATGCCTTGGAGAAGTTGGTGCTGGAGACACACCTCATGCTCAACTATGCCAGGTTCAAGACCTTCGAGGAGATGGAGAAGGAGGTCATCAACTTCATGGAGGCAAAGACAGGGTCGAGAATGGTCGTGAGTTCGAACTTTGCCAAGCCGACTGGTGGGAGCTCAGGCCCAGTTCCAATGGATGCCGACAGCTTGATGAAGGCTGTTTCAGGCAACATCGCATCCCTCATAGTCAAAGGGGGCAAGAACGATGGGAAAGGCACCAACGCAAACAAGATCAAGTTCGATGGCAATTGTGACAACTGTGGCAAATCTGGTCATCGCAAAAGAGACTGTTGGGGTAAGCCCACAGGTGGAGGAAAAGGCGCATCATCCCGGAGCCCGACTACCAGTCCCAAGAAGGAGGTCAAGTTTGCTGGCAATTGCAACTTCTGCGGCAAGCCTGGCCACAAGAAGTCCGAGTGCTGGGCGGCCCAAGGCAAAGGAAAGAAGGGTAAGGGAGGAGGAACCGGTCCTGGTAGTGGGAAGGGTTCCAACAACAAGAACTCCGCTAACTCATTGGACCTCCCTGAACCCGAACCTCGACCAGATGCCAACGGCTTGGGGCTTTGCACTATGGATCTTTGCACGCTTGAGGAGAGCAGGAGCCCAACACGCAACTCGAGTTACATGTCACCGGCGAGATCTCCAAGGGCTGATGGTGAGCGAGGGTCAGCAACGGAGAGATCGGCTTCATCCGTGGAGTCGTCAGATTCGGTTGAGAAGCCATGGATCAAATGCAACCTGGACACCGGTACTTCAGTGACGGTGTTCCCAAGATCCATGTTTGAGTCAGGTGAACCGACAGACATGCGGCTGAAGACCGCGTCTGGCGAGGTGGTGAAGGCCTACGGCAAGGCGACCCTACGTAAAAAGAACTCCAGAGGATTGATGAGGTGGCCGACGTGCGCAAGGTGTTGGTCAGTGCCGCCAAGATGCACGAGAAGGGCCAGCTCATGGATTGGCCCTGGAGGCGCAAAAAATCATTCCGCTTAACCACCCCGTCAGCACGGCCATGATCGAGGGAATAAGGATGGCGTCATCCCGGTGTTCGAGGAGAATGGGGTCTACAACTTCTACTTGCGCGAGGAGTTCATTGAGGAGGGAGTTGCAGCCCCTAGTACACCTGATGGGGTTCCACGTCCTCGGACCCCAGATCGGGAGCAGCAAGACGTGGTCTTGAGGACATGGCAAGTCGGAGAAGGTGAACGACCAGCATCAACGAGGAGCAGGACACCACGAGCAGGCCGACGTCGACCTGTGCGCGCCTTGGGGGCAGCTCAAGGCGAACCTGATTGCGAAGAAGCAGAACTTCATGAAGCCAGGCCGGCAAGGCCGGGATGGACTCCGGACACTCCGTCGGAGGCCGAGAAGAAAGAGCGCGAAGTTTCGGGGCGCGCAGTGTTCCGGAATTGGTGTCCCGAGTGCATCCAAGCGACGGGGCGAGTGCAACAACATCGACGTGTTCCTCGAGAAGATGAACATGGCAGCACAGTGGTCATGGACTACTTCTACCTGAACGAGGAGGAGCCAGGCCGCACCTTGTTGCTCAGGATCGCAAGACTGGCGTGATGATGGCCACAGCACCGAACCAGAAGGGAGCGGTTGAATGGATTCCCCCCTGAGAAGTGGTAGTCCAACTTCCAAAAATGGTAGTCCAAAAAATGTGGTCACAGCCACATGTCATTCAAGAGTGATTGCAAGAGCTTTGTTGGTATGTGAGCTCTTGGAGATAGATGAATGTCACCATTGGACAACAGATGTATTGCCTTCGGTAAACATATACAAAAGTGTAAGATGACCCCACCCAATGCCCAACAGTCTAAACATATGTGGTCCATACCTATGTTGCATTTGCAAAAAACATATCATATATCATTTGCAAAGACACAGTTTAGATACACTTTCACACTGTCGCATGTCAATGACAAGATGTTTTCACATTGCATTTCATTGTCAAGTGCGCGAGAAAAAAGGTGTCATCGTGTTCGTTTGGGGGTTGGTGGGATGTGGTTGGTCTGACAGCCTAGGGGATTGCAAGCCTGCACAGCTTGCTGGCCCGAAGGCTGTTGGCCAATCACAGGGACATGTTCTTGTTCTTTCCTGTTTTTTTTGCTGATGTGTTTTCTGGTGCCTTGTTTTCTTGCGCTGTTACTCTAATGTTCAGAACAATGAAACAACCTGCGCTGTTTCTAATTGGTTCAGGACGTTCAGAACAATGAGAGAACCTGCGCAACACAATTGACAACACAACAACACAATTGACACCTCCATAACAACGCAACTGACACAGTCACAATTGGTTCCATTACAGAACAATTAACAATAATCACACCAACCTTGTGAGTTCTGAACTTTTTTGCAGTTTTCACCCGACAGGGCAATGTCGTCACCAGAGCCAAGTTTGCCATCCTCGATCCACACAGATCTTGCAGATGAATCCAACTCTGATGTTTCCCTCCCGCCATCCATTGGCAGTGACGATTTGAATTTGGACGATGGTTGTTCGTTTTTTGTTGCAAACGCAATTGTGGCCAGTTCTTCTCCAAAGAGGCATTGCAAAGCTACCAACTAGAGCTTGGACAAGGAACACCTGCCGAGGTCAAAGCCAGAAAGTTCGATTGTGTCAAAAAGGTCTTCGACCAGAACACTGCAGAGAAACAAAAGAATGGTTTGGATTGGCATTTCCAAGGGCACACTGTTTGTCGCCGCTTCTGGACTTCAACACATGCATTGTCGCCAGGAAAGGTGTCCAACATTCTCAAGCTTTTGCGTGCCGGGAATGTCACACTTCCACCTCCAGGACCTCGAGCGCACAAGCCCGAGCCCATGTTGGACCGTTGCAACACATGGTTGTTGGAGACCTACCAACACCTAGCAGACCCTCTAGCTGTACCCGGGTCTGAAGATAGATTGCCCACAGGCCTTGCAGAAGTTGTGGAAAGCACACATGAGATTGTGGACGACATCAGCCATCCGGTTTACGCATTGGGGTTCAACCTTGACACCAGTGCAGGTGGCAAACGTGTTGCAGGAAGAAGATTTCTAAACTTCCACAACATTCATGAATTGTTCACATTTTACCAGGCCGATGTGGACAGTTCTCAACAAGTGGCCAGATCAACATTCGAGAGGGCAAGTGCTCCATCTGCCTGTCATTGGCTGAACGACGCTCAAACGCTTCGAACGAAGAAGAACGTTTACAGATCGATTGTGAGAAACAAGAGCACCTCAACGTGGTGAAGAAAGATCGAAAGGTGAACACTCGTGGCAATGTCAAATCGAGCGAATTGGCAAATTTCATGCCTGACAATCGGCATCATGGGGTTTGCAAGCTCATGCTGGACGGCATGGATCAAGCCAAGTTTGCCATGCCAAGAGCGAAGAGACTATGCGGAACCTCAGATTATGGCAAGGTCTGGAAACCCAATGTACACCTCGTTGGAGGGATTCTTTGGGGTGTTTGCGAGTATTATTACTTGCTACCCATGGACTGTGCAAAAGATTCAAGTATGCAAGCGACTTTGTTGGGCAGATCATTGGACGTGGCACGTGAGAAACTACAGTTGTTGGAGCCAACCATGGACCTAGATCTACCTGACAACATGGTGATTGCTGTGGACAACACCCCTCGAGAGTCCAAAAACCAGATATTTGCTGGTTTTTGCGCTTGGTTGACATCCCACCATTTCCGCTGTGTAGAAACACAATACCTACAAACACAGCACACACACACAATGAGTTGGACCAGCGTTTCAGCACATTAGCTACTTTGATCAAGCAATGCCCAAAGATTGAAACCATGGATGAACTCAAGCACATCATCGAGAGCCAAATGAAACCTCTGCGTGCAAAATACCTCCATGTGGAGATTGTCCACAACACATGGGATTTCAAAGCTTGGATGCAGGGCAGTTCCGACAGCAATATTTCGGGTTTAACCTCCACACAGTTCTCACCAGCAAACCACCTGTGGCGATTCGAACGACGAGAAGCTGTACAAGGGAACCATCCCCGAGTGGAGATTTTCCATGAAGATTGGAACCAGTTGGAGGAGAATCCAGGCGATGTTGTCTTGACGGTGAAGCAATTCATATCCGACGCAGCTGCTTCGCAACCACCGCAGTTGATTTTGCCTCTCAGTGTGTGGAATAAGTTTGACAAGGCTCAATTGAAACCTTCAGTGAAGAATCCTTTCTCACAGACTACTTTGTCCGAGTTTCGCAAAACAGCCAAGCTGGTTGGGAGTGCTCCATGGAATTTGTTTGAAGGCCAAACATGGTTGGAGGAGCTGTGTGACAACAACGAGAATGGAGTCGTGCCCAAGCCGGTGGAATTGAAGTTTATTTTCAGCATTCATGATTCTGAGGCTCGGATTGCGCAGCAAGATCCACCCAATTTCGAGGATGTGGAAATGCCACAACAAGCTCCGCCAAGGCATGTCACAGTGAAAAAACCAAAGGCCGCAATCAAAAGGCCAGCAACCCATGCACCTGTTCGGATGGTGCGGCGACGACCAGCAGCAGCAATAACAGAAGGTCCTACCACAGCCCCAATGGAAGGTGAGCTTGCAGAAGAACCTGCCCCACCGCCCAAGGCCCCGGCAGATTTGGCCACAAGTTCAGAGATTGAACCAGAGGTCACCCCAGGCCCAGTTCTTAGAAAGCCAGCCACAAAAATGCGAAAGCCTGCTGCTGCATCAGCCCTGACAGACCGATCACCAGCCCCTGTGGATGAGCCAACATCCATCGAAGCCATCAAAGCTTTGCCAAATTTTTTGCATTGGGGCTGCGCAAAGTGTCGTAAGTCATTCGACCAACCCAAAACTGGGTGCGGTGAATGCAAACGCAAAGCCGAGCGACGTTACAGTGGCTTCCGCTCCTGTCCAGATGGATTCGTCTACCGACTCCACATTGAAGATGTGGATTGAACAAAATTGTTGCCTCACTTACTCACATAGCTTCATGTTTGATCTGAATTCATCCTTTTAGATGTGTAGTAGTCATGTGTTTGTTCTCTTGGTGTTTTGTCATGGGGCGTGGGGATTGTAAACAGGAAACAATGGTCTAGCCAACGTTGGGATGGCCACCTTCCTCAAGTGGCTAGCCAATGGAATGGCTGCCAATTTGACAAGTCAATCTCACCTTTCTGCTTCTGCTATCTTGCAGCATCTTGCAGTTTTTT